CCGGCCGGCGCCGCCCGCTGCCGCCCGGCCGTACGGAGAGCCGGGAGGGTCAATCTGCGCTGGAGTTGGGGCTTCTGGGCGGACAGACCAGTTCTGCTCGTCGGGCAAAAGGGCAAAGGGGCAAAGCTGCCCTGCCTCCCGGCTGGGCAGGACGAACCAACAGGGTGCAACCAAGGCCACAAATCTGGGCGCCATCGGCGCGAACCCAGTCGGCGGCCAGGCGCCATGTGGCTCACAGTGGTGCTGCTGCTGCTGCTGCTGCTGGCCCTCCTCAGCAAGGTGTACCTGGGGCTGTTCTCAGGCAGCTCCCCGAGTCCCTTTGCCGAGGACGCCAGACGGCCACCCGCGCCCCTGGTGACCGACAAGGAGGCCCGGAAGAAGGTTCTGAAACAAGGTCAGCGGCAGGGACCTTGGGCTCTGAGGCTGCGCTGGTTTGTGGTTTCTTTCTGGCAGGGCGAGGTGCTGTCGGACCTGGGCCTCAGTTTCCCCGAATGTAAAATGCTGGGAGGGCTTGATGCACTTGGAGGCGCCCCGCTTTAGTGGCGGCCACCCACGAGAGCCTTTGCCTGGCCGGGCTGGAGAGTCGCGCCCCGTGGACGCGCGCAACGTCCTCTGCGCCAAGGTCTTGAAGGTCAAGTCCAGGCCCTGTTTTTCTTTGTTTTTCCCCCAAGCCAAACTCTCCAGCTTTATTAAAGATACAATCATGGTGTTTCAGACAAGACATGGGTAGATAGCCCTTACAGTATACAACAACTTTCAAACTCCCTTCTTCGATGGACTACCGAAACCAGAAAGCTGCTATGAAACCCAATGAAGTCTCTACCTGGTGCTCCGAACACGGAAAGTTCAGAGTGAGGGTTGATTTTTCGCATTATGTTGTTTAATAACTTAACAAGCCGACCCTGACTTTCAGGAAATGGAAGGAAAATGGCAGAATTACCCATCTCTAGATCCCACAGTCTAAAAAACTGCTTTTTTGAGGGACGCCATCTCAATGACACTGGAAGGTCCAGATTGCCCAACATACTGGTAACCAATTTTATTGGGTCAGGTCCCAACAGGTCTGTGGGCTTAAGGGAGTCAAGCCTATGCTTAAAGTAGATGGGGGGGGGGGGAAATGACATAAAAACAATTTTTGTTTTCCCACACTACAAGGGGTTTATGCCAAGGTGGCTAATGTGTGTCAACATCAAGGGATCCCTCCTCTCAGGAAGCAAGAGGAAGGCTCTCAAAACTAGAAGAGAAAGGTGCTTTTTCCCCACGTCAGTCCAACTTTGGAGACGTTGTATTAGTACTATATGTCCTTCACACCCAAAAAACAATGAAGTGTTCTGTGTGCTAACAACATCGCTTAAAAAAAAGGTAAAACAAAATTCTGCATTTTTGTAAAACTTGATAAAAAATAGTATTTCAGACTATAGAGTCAGCGGGAATACACAAAAATGCACACACTTCACTTGGCATCTCCAGCACCTTCAGCTTTCTCTGCCTGGTCTGTTTTGGCATCTCCATGTTCTGTAGGATTTTTCCCAACCTTGCCAGCATCAGCTTTTCCCCTTTTCCCTGTGGGTACCTTCTCTCCCTTCTTTGTTAGGCTTGGCCTCTGGCTTTGGAGGAGCAGGTTTAGCCGATAACCTTCTCTGTGGCTCGTCCTTCATCTGGGCTTCATCTCCTTTAGCATCCCCTTCAGCCTTCCTCTGGGCTTGATGGCGATGGTGGCGGGACTTACAGTCGTGGGGTCGTTCTCATCTCTTCACACTGCTCCAAAATCTGTCATTTTATATGACAATGACTGTTGCCCAACTCAAGGGGTTTGCTGCTTGGGTGTTTCCACCCAAGTTGTCGCAAGGTAGTTTTATTTACTTTCAGCAAGTAAAGGAGAGGGAACTCCTAACCAACGCCGGGCCTCACCTCTTCTCTTTGGCTGTAGGCGCCCACAGTGGCAGAGTCACCTCCTACTGCAGTCCAGGTTCCTCTCAGCCCTCTAGCTTCTAGACTCCTAGAGAAGATGGGCTGAGAAGGCCTCCCCAAGGCTTGTCCCCCTGTTCCAGGCAGGTGGGACTGAGAGGCAGAGGACAGGTCCTGGATGCCTTGTTTAATAGTGTGACTAACATGCCACAATTCAGACCCAATCTGCTAAAAAGAGGTTGTGGGCGGTGTGGCCTCCCAGCACCTGTCTGCCTTCCAGCTCACACCTTAGCAGTGCCGTATTCTGTTCCTCAACTTCCATAACTGCCTCTGGCTGTGACAAATCACTGGGCTGCTCCACCTGGCTGCTTCCACAGCAGGGCAGGTGCCCGGGTCAGCCCATTCCACCACCAGTCAGCAGACTCCCAAAGCCATAGGGGCCTGTGCCCAGGCTGAGTGGGGGCCACTCCTCAACGAGGGGACACAGCTTAGAAGCACCTAGTCCTGCCTGTGGATGCAGAGAGCAAGTTCTCTCACCTCAACCTGCTCCACGCCTAGCTACCCACAGCTTTGGAGGAGAGAGGGGGAGCTAATAGACTGTTGCTCAGAAAAGAAGCTGAGGTCTCAGGAGTTTTTTTGACTTGATTGGGCTCTGACAGGAGGGAATGCATGACGGCACCTCTGCCCAGAGTCAGTGATCTCAAAACCATCCTTGCAGATGAATGGATGGAGAATACTTTTTAAGACCGCTCTAAAGTCATACTTAAAAAGCAGTTTGTTTCCCTGTGTCATTTCCAACCTCCACACCACGTGGCTGGGGAGCCCAACCTTACTCTACCTCCTTCATTTTTCAAGTGCAGTGAAGGGGACTCAAACTACATTTTGTAAAATGTAGTTTTTCAACACTCCTAGGGTATTTGGCCTGTGTTACTACACCTTTGGTAAAATTTCTGAAATCACACCTGCCAAAAGAACATCTGTTTATATCAATGAAACTCTTTGAAGAGATGAGGCATGTAATTTTTTCCCCTTTTCATTCAGAGGAAGAAAAGCAGTAGGAATTCAAAACAGCTCATTCAAACAGCTCATAGATAAAACCAGTAATTCTTTCCATATACCTCCAAGCAATATATCTTGAAACCATTAGCTAAGACTAGTTCTGAGTTCCACAGCCAAACCTCAGTGAAGGTGGTGCAGCCTGTCTGATGGGAACCTCATTGTTGTTGAAACTGCTGGGGTGCCATTCCCATTTTTCCTCATGAGTACCACCCTGGCTGCAGGTGCTCCAAAAAGTGCACTCCTTGGATGAAAGGAAGCAGGTTAGGGTTGCAGAGGAGAAGCTTATATGCGGTTAGTAAATGCTGAACCCTAGGAAGCAAAGAAGCTGACATTAGAAAACAGTGCCTCCTGAATCCACAATGGACTCCCAGCCTAAAGCAAGGCTGCCTTGGACAGGGCAGGCAGTTTCCTACAATTGACCCATTTGTTATATTAATTTGTATAAGCACTTAATTTCTTTTTTTAAGAAAAATATGTTTTTATTGATTTCAGAGAGAGGAAGGAAGAGGGAGAGAGAGAGAAACATCAGTGATGAGAGAGTCATTGATCAGCTGCCTCCTGCACACCCCCTACTGGGGATCACACCTTCAACCAGGGCATGTGCCCTGACCGGGAATCGGACAATGATTTCCTCGTTCATAGGTCGATGCTCTACCGCTGAACCACACTGGTCGGGCAGCACTTAATTTCTTTAGGTAAATAAACAGAGCTCTTTTTATCCAGTTCTGGAGGATGCACCCCAAGGGCTGCATTCGGGATTGAATTTGAGTTTCCCATAGCTGCACATTTACATATAAGTCAAAGCAAATGCACAAAGAGTACCAGACAACCAGACCAGAGATCATTATACAGGGACATCTTGGATTTTCCCGTAGGTGTTCCTCAGTCCTCCAGAGTTAGATGGGGCCCTGAATCCAGCTTCCCGGAGGCAATTCCTGCCCAACCAATCAGAAACCAAGCACGCACCAGAACTGAGACTACCTTTCCGACAAGCCTATACCCAAAATGGAACAGAAACACTAATTAAAATAACCCCAGGGGCTATTTTAACCCCAGGGACTGACCCACCTCCCTTCCAGAGCGCTCAAGGGGACAGGGTCAGGTGGCCACTTCCCTTTGCTGTGGAGGCAGGCCAGGCAGCTGTTCTGGTGGTCAGCACTGAGCGGGAGTCCCCTATAGAACAGATCCTCCGTTCAGTGGGGACACCGTCCAGCAGGCCTCAGATGAGCTGCCACTGCTGACTGCTTCACTAAGAGTGCACACCAAGCCAAAAGGGAGTCCCTTTAGGAGAGTTCCAACTGGAATCAAATTTGTCACCATACTCGAGGGGTTTGCTGCATACTTGAGGGGGGTGCTCGTTTCAAGAATGAGCTGTGGTTGTCACAAGGTGTGTCTCCTTTAAACTATGTTGTGACAACCATGTCTCTGACTTGAATAGAGCACCCCAAGCAGCAAACCCCTTGAGTTACTAATAACGTGGCTACGTTAACAAGAGCAAAGAGACCTTTCCCCTACTTAGCTCTAAGACCTTAACTTTTTCACTTACCTTTCCACATGCACCCAGGGGTCTGGGGGAGCTTCACAGAAATCTCTTTCAACCTGTATAGGAAATTTCATTTTGCCCACTAAGTGATTTGGCTGATTATGCCTAGACCCAACTCATGGTTGAACCCTGGTTCTGACACTTGGGAGAGGCTCAATGGGGTGCCTCAGGATCAGAACTTGCTCTTCTATCAATCAGGGTACCTCCTCTGTCAGCTTTAAAACATATTTTGGGGTTCCTCTTAAGGTTGAAAGAAAGAGTTCTGCTGCTTTTTTTAAACAACGGATCCCCTGTTTGATCTCCAGGGTCCCTGTCACTTGACATTTTTAGAATTCTGTGTGACACACCTTGCCTCACAGTCAGAGACAGCACTGTCCTAAGTGGAAGGACTTCTGAGATCAGAGTTGTAGCTTGGACTCTTGTCACTAATTTATTGCACAATCATTAGCAAGTCATTCCACTTACCTGGGTTGGTCTAAAAATGAGATGACTAGTTTAACTCTTTCAGACCAAGTTGTGATCTATTAGTGGGTCATGAAATCAAGTTAGTGGGTTGCAACTAGCATTTTGAAATGCAGTAGAATAGAAAATACCAGACATAGTTCTGGTAAGTGTGGTATTATGAAACTTTTGTTTCAGGTATTTTATATTATATACTAACATATACTCTGGGTTGTGATATAAATATATTTTTCAATGTAGGTCTTTCTAAAAATGTTTGAAAAGTTAGAAGTTTACCAAGTTCTCTTGCAGCTTGAAAAATTTCAAATCTTATTCTTCAAAAGTGATCTTTAAAGAACAGACCTTGTGTTGGAAGTGCCCATATGGTACCTCCTGCTGTCCAGTTTGTCTCATTTAGGTGCTGCCCTCCTCAGCAGTGCCTCCAGACTTCCCTGAAGTGAGGAAGTGCTGCAGTGATTTCTCAGAGTAACAGCCTCCCAGCAGCTCTGTCCCACCCAAGCCTCTATATCTGGATCTTTTTTAAAAATATATATTTTTTTATTGATTTCATAGAAAGGACAGGAGAGAGAGAGAGCAACATCAATGATGAGAGAGAATCATTGATCGGCTGCCTCCTGCACACCCTGTGTTAGGGATGGAGCCTGCAACCCAGGCATGTGCCTGGACTGGGAATCAAACAGTGATCTCCTGGTTCATGGGTTGACACCCAACCACTGAGCCACACCAGTCTGGCTGCATCTGGATCTTAAAGATCCATCATCATACAACCAGGCTGCTCCGCTGTGCCTGAAGGCCCCTGCATGCATTTTCCAAAGATAATGGGCTTGTGAATGGACAGTTCTATGAGCCAGCAGCCTGCCCCACAGCATTCTTGTTTCCCAACTTCTTGTTTTCTTTCTTCCCTAGGTCTCTCTTTGTCTGCACTTAAGGTTCTCAGCTTATATTATCAGCTTTCTGTTTTTATTCCTATAATAGTGTACTGATACATACTGTCTTTGAAACCCCTATGTACATACCAACTTTGGTTAAGTCAGTTCAGATCAAACCAAATCACTTTGTTTAATGTGCTTGGCTGGTCCTGAGCATGTCCCAGGTAAAATGTTTGTGGTATTCTAGTAAGGGCCTCTGTGCCAAGCTGCTGGAGACTTCTCTAGCTTTGTACCAGCCAGAGAAGTCTTCCCTGGTTTCCATATATTTGCTCTTTGCTGTCCCTGCCTGAGAGGCCTGCGCTCCATCTCCTCCCTGTGCTGCAGCTTTCTCAGCCAGCCGAGTGCCAGAGAAGCTGGATGTGGTGGTGATTGGCAGTGGCATTGGGGGCCTGGCTGCAGCCGCGATTCTGGCCAAAGCTGGCAAACGAGTTCTGGTGCTGGAACAGCATACCAAGGCAGGAGGCTGTTGTCATACCTTTGGAAAGGATGGCCTTGAATTTGACACAGGTAAGGGTTATGTAGAAAGGGGTTGGGAGCATGACTCTATCTTCAGAAGGCTTGGAGCAGCCATCGTGGGATGGTACTGGGCATTTCTGTCATTTTGGAGGCCCCGTTTTCTCTCTGGGCACCTCTTTCTTTGTCTTATAGCCACGCCCACTGGGAGCTGAAATGGCAGGAAGGGTGGGTAGACTCTGCTGGGTGTGGATTCAGCCATGCAAGACAACCTCTCTCACCTTGCCTCCTTGCCCCCCTTTCCAGGGCTCAACCCCCTTATCCCTAAGACACCTCATTTGTCTCCCCACAGGAATCCATTATATTGGGAGGATGCAGGAAGGCAGCTTTGACCGTTTTATCTTGGACCAGATCACTGAGGGGCAGCTGGACTGGGCTGCCTTGTCCTCTCCCTTTGACATCATGGTGCTAGAAGGGCCCAGTGGCCGAAAGGAGTTCCCCATGTACAGTGGGAAGAAAGCCTACACTCAGGGTCTCAAGGAGAAGTTTCCCCAGGAAGAAGCTGCCATTGACAAGTATATAAAGCTGGTTAAGGTAACGTGGACGTGCTAAGGATCCCCTTGTTTATTACGGACAAGGCTGACCACCTTTGTTAGTGGAGTGACTGGTGAGGAGGCAGGAAGGGAGGAATAGTCATGTCTGTCCGGAACTCAGTCCCCACTGGAGTTGGCCTCTGTGCTTCTGGAGCATGGGCTCGGCAGCTGCCACTCTCACTCTGGCCTCTGGGGGCGCCACGCTCTACTCCCCAACCAGGCTGGCTTCTTGTGTCCTCAGATTATTACCCTTTTTTACTTCATCAGAGACCAGTTTGGGATTTTTCAAAAGGAATTTGGGCAGGAAACGGAAAAGCAAAAAGACTCATCTGAGTGTAGAATGGGAAGAATTCACAGAGAACAGGTTTTTAAAAATCCAAATTCAGCCCAAGTTCCCCCTGGGGTAAGTGTTGCAGGGCCGCAGCTGATGCTGGTGAATGGAATGGTGATTTGTCACAGCAGTTCTAGAAATGAGACCTGTTCCTCCCTGCTCATTTTCTCCCCCAGCTGGTGTCCAGGGGAGCCTTTCATTACATCTTATTGAAGACCCTCCCACTGCCTGTGGCTCAGCTCCTCAACAAGTGTGGGCTCCTCACCAGGTTCTCTCCGTTCCTTCGTGCGTCCACCCAGAGCCTGGCCGAGGCCCTGCGGCAGCTGCCCGCCTCCCGGGAGCTCCAGGCGGTGCTCAGTTACATCTACCCCACATATGGTGGGTACTGGCCTTGGGCCTTGGGCAGCTCCTGGAGGAGGTGCCACCTCCTAGCTCTCAGTCTGTCTTCCTGAATGTGCTTGGCTGACTGAAATGCAGTAGAAACCCCAGGCCCTCTGGAGCTTATGGACAAGAAGTCTGCCCACCTACCTGCTGCACTCCCTGGTAAACTTCCTTCATCCACACCCTGGATGACTGTCCTTTTCTTCCAGCACTGTCCTCCTGGGTCTTGGCCACATGGCAGTATGCAGGGAGGACATTCCCAGTGGCCCCAAGATCTGTAAAGTACCTCCTATTTGTATGGAGACCGGCCCTCTGGCTGCCTGGGGGATCATTTGGAAGGAGAGACTCAGGCTGCGTGTTTTCTGCCAGGACCATGTTTCCTTCTGAGCAGAGCTGCTGCAGCACTTGCCTCATCGCCCCTCCTTCCTTCCGTAGGCGTGACCCCCAGCCACACCACCTTTTCCATGCATGCGCTGCTGGTTAACCACTACATGGAAGGGGCCTTTTATCCTCGAGGGGGTTCTAGTGAAATCGCCTTTCACACCATCCCTGTGATTCAGCGGGCCGGGGGTGCTGTCCTGACGAAGGCGTCTGTGCAGAGCGTGTTGCTGGACTCAGCTGGGAAAGCCTGTGGTGAGAGTCCCATGTCGTGCTTCACGGGCCCTGGGCTGGGGTGGTAGAGACTTGGGCTTCAGGGAAAAGAAGGCTCTGAGGGCAGAAGGTGTAGCAGAACCGACTTCCTCATGGGGGTTAAAGGCTGGAATCTGCCCCAGAGCAGGGCTCAGGGAGAGCGATTAGTCTAGAGGTAAGGAGGACACAGGAAGGAAAAAGGATTGCGTGGTTTGCAAACAACAGTATTTAATCATTTATTCAAAAGATAAGAATAGTTATCCAGTAATCCATGACCTCCTTGAGTGTCTTTTAATCTTTGTCTATAGATTTTAGCACGGAATAGAGGCTCAATAAATGTTTGTTCAGTGATGGATGGAATGAATAAGTAACCTGGGCACCCCCTACGGCAGCATGGAGGCAGCAGGGTACCCTGCCCTCAATCTGTGAGTGGCAGAGTGGGGCCTAGAATCTTGTTACTCTGGCTCAGGTTTTTGCTGTTATCTGCACAGAGAGTCAAAATCTCACTATGGCAGAACTTCATGAGCAGAGGGTCAATGCAAGGAAGGACTCTGGGAAACAGAGCAGGCCATTCATGACTCGTGGGTGTTTAAGAAACATCAGGAAAGGGGACAGAGAGAGGCCTGAAGAAAATAGGGCTGGTGTGACAGTGAATTCACCAAAGGAATCTTTCGAGGAGGAGACAGTGAGTGGGTGACCCAGTGCACTGAAAAAAATCAAGGGAGAGAAGGCCATCAGCGATCTCTGAGAATGCATTTGTAGACAAGAGTAGGAAGCTGCCCGTGGTAAGACAGAGGTGGCTGGCTGTCAGTAGTGGGAGATTTTCTCCCATCTTCTTGAGCAAGTTCTCTTTCCAGCCTCTAGGGGTCCATGAAGCAATGTGGATCTATCAGTTCAATTAAATTCAGTTCGGAATATATGTGTATACTTGTGTTTTTCATGTGCTAGGCGGTAAAAGATGAAAATAAAAAGACAAGTCCTAATGTCTAACTCAGGAAATTTCCAATCTCATAGGGAAGGTCACTGGGATATAATTTAACTACCATATAGAGGTGCACGCTAAAACTGGAGGTGAAATAAAGGCTGGTGGAATAGGGAGGGCCTCAGTGGGAAGGCAGAGGTGCTCGAGCCAGGTCATAAAGAGTCAGAAGAATTGAGCCAGAGGTTGGGGTAAGTTATTCCAGGCAAAGGGAACAGAATGTGCAAAGGCACAGAAGTATGAAAGAGCTGAGTATTTTTATGCATATGAAATTAGGTTGAGCCATTAGAAACTGCCGTTTTTATAGGTCAAAAATGGTTTACTATCAGTTGTTTCATATGGTTGTACCTACGGTTTAGTGAGTGGCCAGAGAAGAGGTGGACACACAGCAGGGACCAGATTGTGGAAGTCTGATACAAGGGGTCAGTGTGAAGGTTGGGTTTGGCTAAAGAAAAGGGAGTCCACCCAGGGTGGGGAGGAAGCTAAGGAAGATGAGTGCAGAGCAATTGGGGGACACGCTGAGAGTGCTCAAGGATATTTCACTCATTTTGCAGTTTGCTCCAGGGCGTGCCTAGGTGGCCCGGACGCCCAGGACTGAGAAAATGAAGCGTAGGCTGGGAGAGACCTGTGTGGGATATGAGCCTTTGTTTTCCTCCTGGGGCGCACAGAACCTCATCAAGCCCTTGTGCCTACAGGTGTCAGTGTGAAGAAGGGTCAGGAGCTGGTGAACATCCATTGCCCCATCGTGATCTCTGACGCAGGCCTGTTCAATACCTATAAGAACTTATTGCCAGAGACCGCCCGCTGTCTGCCGGGTAAGACAGGGCTGTGGGGCTCTCCCGAGTTCCCCAGCATTGCTGCTCTAGAGCCAGCTCGCTCAGCCTGGCTGATGCTTTTCCCAGGGTGACGGCTGCCCTTAAGCAGAAAAGGTGAACACACTGGTCTCTGACTTGTTCCCAGCAAGGCCTCTGTGCGGGGGGTTGGGAAGCAACTTCCTTTGTATCACATCACCACAGAGACCCTTTGGTCCTTATTTATCTCTTCATTCTTGGCATATGCACTCCCTCAACCACTTTCCCTCTCCTCTTCTAAGTTTCCATTCCAAGTTGCCTGTTTCCAGTTTTCTTAGCTCTTGGGTCATCTAATGCTTAGTGATGGTGGGTAGAGTAAGAAAGGAACATTTCTTGGGTTTTCACTAAGTTTGTGGTGTGAATCCTGCTTCCTTCCTTAATTTCTCACTTATTTTGAGTGGGAAGACTGGTCTGACATTACCAGGAAGGGAAGCCAAGCCTGGCATGGCGAAGGCTCTACATAATTGTTGTGTGCCCTACTGGGAGCCAAGGTAATATTTTTTTCTGCCTCTTTTGGGAACCAGCTCCTTATTGGGGCTGAGGCTGTGGGCGTACCCTTTTGGCTTTCTTCTGTTCCTTGAACCCTATGCCCAAAATCTGGGCGCCAGGCAGAAATAAGCCTCAATGCAGTTATCTCTTCTGATAGGCCTTGTCTAAAAAGGAGAGCCTGGTTTTGCAGAGGAGGAGGGAGACCTATTTGTGATTGGCCCTGGGTAGGACTGTGTGCAAGGCTTTACCTTTGTCATTGCATTTGATTCTTATAGCCACCTGGGAGAGAGCCACCCTCATCCTAATGTTTATGGCTGGGGAAACTGAGGCCGTGCATGTGAAGTAACTTCTCCAGGCCACCTCTCTGAAGGTGGCTGAGCTGAGATGAGAGTGCTGGTACACCTGGGCTCTGGGCCTCCTCTAGGCCTAGAGGCTTGGGGCTTCCAGAGAAAAAGCCTCACTAAAAGGGGCGAGAGCAGGTCAGCCCATGAGGAACAAAGTGGCTCAGCCAAAGTTAGGTGAGAGGTAATTGTTTTGAAATAAACTTTAGGATGTTGTGTAACTAGAAGCTGTTGGAGTGATCTGAGGAAAAGAGTCTGCTGGCCTGGAGGGGACCAGTAACCCAGGAGGGTAAGAAAGGGGTGTGGCTACAGGCCTCTTGCTTGGGCTGGGGGTGGAGAGAAAGGAGCTGTCTAGATGGAAAGGCACAGAGGAGGAGCCCAGAGAGCAGTGGGAGGAGCTCTCCACCCCAGAGTGGGGGCCATGGCTGCTCTTTGAGGAGCTGGGGAAGGTGAGCCGCAGAACAATTTCAGAAGAAAAGTGAGGGCCTGGATTTCCTCATGTGGGAGAGGGTGGGTGGCAGCTGTAATTGTCTCTAAGGTATGTGTTCTAGTGAGAACCAGCCTTCTCATTCCTTTGCCTCACTTAGCTGGGCCTCAGCCAGCGTCTGCTGCCAGTGAAGGCCTCCTCCTTCAGACTGGGTAAGATGAGTGGGGTGAGGCTGAGACTGCCTGGCACAGGGCAATGGTGTGGGCTGGGTGGACTGACCAACAGACTTTGCCTTTGGTACTTCCTGCCTCCCTCCTCTCTTCCAGGACCTCTAATCCCTGACACTGTCCTGTAATAGGTCCCAGGGTCCCACTCAGGCCTGCCTTCTCTCCAGGCCACATGCTACCTTTTCAGCTTGCCTCCCTTCACTATACAGTTATAACTTTCACTGCTCTTAGGCAGCTCAGCCCTGAAACAGGCTAATGGCACCAGCCCCCACCGAGCTGAAGGACCAGTTGCCCCTTGGGTGGGGAGTTGGATGCTGCCCCAGATGGATCCCAGTTTGAGAACATTTCAGTCAGTGGCAGGGATAATGCTTAATTCAGAGACCCCAGTGCTGGGACTCCTTTGTTTCTAGCTGTTTGGGGTTGGATATTTCATACTTCTGTGTACATCTCAGAGATGGGAACCAGATATCTGCTGGCCTGTGGGACAGGTAGAGCCATGTGGGGTCGAGGGTGGAGGTGGGATGGTGAGGCAGAGGGAACCTTTGTGAATGGGAGTGCCTTTCTTAAATCCCACTTCTGAGCCTTGGGGAGGTGCGGGATGGTTTGGAGAGGAAATTTTTTGAGTGAGAAAGATTGGCCTCATAATATCAGTAAGGAAAGCTAAGGCTGGCACGGAGAAGAAAGGCTTGGCATATTGTACCTTCTTTGGCACCCTAGGTTATATTTTTCTGCCAGGTATTGGTCCCTGGACCTCTTCCTTGTAGCAGGGGTGAGGGAAAACAGGCTAAGTGGAGGTAGTCACTGTTCTGGGGGGCTTTAGAAGACCTAGAAGGTTTCACTTTTGGGCCCCTGGTTCTCTGTATGCCCACCCACCTGGAGAAGGAGTGCCAGCAGTGTGATTACCCCTGGAGGCCGGGACCCGGGTAATAGGTGCTCCTGCAGCTCCAGGGCAGTCCACTGCTCCTTTCTGTGGCTGTGGAAGCCCACATTCCCCTTCCCTCCTCATGGCTGGGTGTCTGTAAATCTTACACCAGTTGTCCTACTGTAATTGTTATAATGCTCCCTTTTGCTCTCAAAAGTGGCCTGTTTTAGATTCTATGGTCATGCTGCCCATAGCACTCATTCTTTGCAGCCTTTGCAGCCTCTGTGTGGGTGTCCAGCTTATTTCAGGAAGGTCTCTTTTCCAGTAGACCAGCAGCATATGATTCCTTGTAGCATCCCCAGGCCCTGCAGAGGAGTCAGCACATTCTAGATCCCCCACAAGCAGTTGTTACATGAACTAAGAACAGCCAATGTCATCCCTCAAGCAGGTGCTGGTGATGGTCCTGGGAACTGGAACAAAGGATAAGAATTTGTAGGAGCAATTTCTGGAAAACTAGTCTGAGTGCTTTGTTGAGAGGTGGGGAAGCCCAGCTGCTTAGGTCCAGGGGACGTCAGATGGCTCTTGCCTCCCTCCACAGTGCTGTTCTTCCCTCTTCCTGGCTGAACCCTGAAACCCCAGGTGCCGGGAATGCTGTTTGCATTTGTTCACCTGCATTGCTGACCTTTTGAGGCCCTGTACTGACTGTACTGCACATTATGACTTGTGTATATTCATTTATTAGGTGGCTTACATTAAAGTTCATACTGAAATTAAGGCTTGTAAAAAAACTACTGTTCATATCTGTGGTCTTTATAGCATGGAGCCCAGCTATCCACTAACTAAGATGTTAGGGGAAGATTACAGGCAGTTAGCCTAAGACAGTCCTGCAGGTGCTGTGAGTCAGCTTAGGGAGGCTGGGCGTCCCCTGCTTCTAAAGGTGCTTAGAGCAGAAGTGGGTGAAGGTGGAGAGTAGGAGTCTGGCGTTGTCTGGAGTGGGTGAAGGTGGAGAGTAGGAGTCTGGCGTTGTGCCCAATTAATTGTTATTTCAACAGTTGCAGTTGAAGTAATGCTATAAAAATGGCCCAGGCGCTAGGCTGGCCGCCAAGGATAGGCTGCAGACACAGCGAGCAGCCTCACTCAGCAGGCTCTCCCGGGGCAGGGCGCCACCTCTGGCCACAGTGCGCGCAGCACTCACCAGCTCTTTGGCAGGTGTGAAGCAGCAGCTGGGGATGGTGCGGCCTGGCTTGGGCGTGTTCTCTGTCTTCATCTGCCTACGAGGCACCAAGAAGGACCTGGGGCTGCAGTCCACCAACTACTATGTTTATTTCGACACAGACATGGACAAGGCGTAAGACGTGCATGTGGGGGAAGGGGTGTCAGCATGAGCCCTCAGCCTGCAGAACCCTGGCTTCCTCCCTGGATGCTGGGGAGTCAGCAGCAGGAGATGGGATGGGAGGAAGTGAGCAAGAATTTCCTCTGGGAAGGGCTTTTTCACACTTAGGGTGTGCCTCAGCTTCATCCCTGAGGGTTAGGGGGTGTCCCTGGGGGTGAATGTCCTTGGGGTGGTGCTGGTGGCTGTGAGGACCAAGGCCTTGGGCTGGGCAGCCACACTCCTCTCACCCTCAGGATGGAGCACTACCTGTCTATGCCCAGGGAAAAGGCTTCGGCACACATGCCCTTTCTCTTCATCGCCTCCTCCTCGGCTAAGGACCCGACTTGGGAAGACCGATTCCCAGGTGGGGCTTGGAGTCCCAGGGGAGAGGGGTGAGGTGGGAAGGAGCTGGCCGCAGTAACCCCGGCTCTGCATCCCCAGGCCGATCCACAATGATAGTGCTGGTGCCCACCCCCTATGAATGGTTTGAGGAGTGGCGGGAGGAACCAAAGGGAAAGCGGAGCAGCGACTATGAGACCCTCAAAACCTCCTTTGCTGAAGCCTCTCTGTCGGTTGTCCTGACACTGTTCCCACAGCTGGAGGGAAAGGTAGGTGGACCATGTGATGGTGGCAAAAGAACTCTTGGTGCCATTTCTCCCTTTTATTTGCAGCAGGGAAATAAAACTCCGAGATAACTGAACTCCAGGGAAGGCAGGGAACCCACCCAGGCCGTCAGCTCGTTCAAGGAGAGCAGAAGGGGAAGAGATGAGGACCTCACAAGGTCTCACTCCCACCCTGTGGCTGCCTTTTTTGCCTCTCAGGTGGACAGTGTGACTGGAGGATCCCCGCTGACCAGTCAGTTCTACCTGGGTGCTTTCCAGGGTGCCTGCTATGGGGCTGACCACGATCTGGGCCGCCTGCATCCTCATGTGATAGCCTCCATCAGGGCCCAAAGCCCCATCCCCAACCTCTACCTGACAGGTATACCGACTGCCCCATTTTGCCGGGAGCTGAGCCCCTGGGCCTCCCTATCACCCACAGTACTCTGTTCCTGTCCTCAGGTCCTCTGCCTCCACAGTCCTGCACACCGTTAGCTGGGCTGCCTCGGCAGGCTGTGGACCTGAGCCTGATCTGAAACCATCTCTGGGTGCCCTAGCATAGAGGGAAGGACATGAGAACCCTCACCCTCTCCCCCACTTGCGGAACTGCTCATGGGTCTCTGCTCTTGTCTCCTAGGCCAGGATCTCTTCACCTGCGGGCTGATGGGGGCTATGCACGGGGCCCTTCTGTGTAGCAGCACTATCCTGAAGCGGAACTTGTACTTAGACCTTAAGAAGCTTGGTTCAAGGGTCCGGGCACAGAAGAAGAAGAATTAGTTCAGTCAGGGATGTGCCAGAGGAATTTGGCCAGGGCTGTGGCACAGCCCCTGACTTAGCCGTATGTCCTTCAGCATTAGTTTCTGCTCAAATGAGCACTCTCATTCGTTTTTGACTTCTGAATGGAGATCTGACCCACAGGCCTTGCACAGATCAGTTCTTTAACTGATACTTTTCCAACTGGGGCAGGGGGTGAGCTTTCACACCTTTTAACATACTAGCTACTAAATTGCCCAGTATGGGCTGATTTGGATGGCCTTAATGTCTCACCAGCAGCGCTCTGTACCCCATACCCATACCTCCTAACTCAGAACAAGCAAACTTAATATTCTTGAAAGTGTTGGTCCAGCTGTCCCAAGGCTTCTCCTCTCATCACTCAAAGTGCCGTGCTGCAGTCTACAAGGTTAAGGAAAAAGGGTGCCTGAAGTTAAAGGGTGCCTAGTGAGGTTCTAGTCAAAACCCAGGCATGGTTTTGGTTATAGTTTCATAGGTTCAGAGGCCTCCAGATCCCATTTTTTGGGGTTCCAATGGCTCTTTCAGGGGGTGGAGACATGCCTGGGATAGGTTCATTGTGGTCGTTGGGGGCTGGAGTAATGACAACACATTAGTCAACAAGATGTGTGCTAGATGATAATATCCAGTTCAGATGCAGCCAAGGCCTTAGGTGTGTCTTCCTTATAACTGGGTTCTCAGTGTGCCAGCACCAAGACACACCCTCATGGAGCTTAGTAGCTGGGCCTCAAGGTTTATCTTTCAAAGATACACAGCAAAGGGTGACGTTGATAGTCAGGACACAGGAGTGGAAAGGTGACACCACTGGAGTTGAAGCAGGCTCAAGAGCATTCAGGCCAAGGGCACAGCAGAGGACAAGTGCCAAGAGGTAACTGAATGAATAATGACGAACAGCCCCGCTACCTCCTAGACCTGGACCATGGGCTGCCTGGTGGGGAGGAGTGGGGCTGGAAATCAGTCATGATCACAACAGGGAAAGCTACAGAATGTGTACAAAGCCCAGAATGGCGTTTCCCGTTTATTGGAGGTTGGATGGGAAGGTGAATGAAGACTAAAGGTTAAAAATAAAATGACCTTTCACTTATGTTAGGCCTCATTTCAGTCAATTTTAACCCAATATTAATAAATTTAAAGATTTTATAGCTTTAATATTTGAAATTTATTTCAGTTTCTGTGCAACAATACAAAATTACATCAAGTGGCATTCACAGCTCAGTAAAACATTAGGTACTGAAAAATACTTATCATTAGACCAAATAAGCTTTAAAAAAAATTAAGAGTTCAAGTTACAAAAGCTGAAAATATAAAACACTGCAAAACAGTGGCAATCTATTAATTGGGTAAACAAAAAAGAAGGGACGGGATATCAACAATCACTTATTTAACACGGCAGATTTCTGAATTAAAGGAATATCTATCAGGCATTATATATACATCTATCAGTGTGAGGAGGCTGGCTTTGCTGGCAGCCTGAAACTATACAGCTCAGACTCCCTTTAACAGAGGAGTTTCTAACTTGGGATATTTAGGAAATTCACATGTGGCTTGTGGAACTAGTTGAGTTGAAATTCAGTCTTGGCTCTGGATATACAGTTCAATTAAACCTGAAAATCTCTTCCTAGGATCCTTACTTACGCCAGGCCATGCCAAACACAACCGTCCCAGTTAAGTCTTCAGAAAACACCTGGCAGAACTACAAGGTCTGGTATATAGCACACTCCTCCCTGTTCAAACGATTCAGCATGTGCAAAGCGTGCTAGCTTTTATCACACAGGTGGCACTATGTATCAAGTTACCCTGTAGAAACAAGGGGCAGGCTTCCTTTTTTTTTATTTAAATGACATGAACTGGAGAACAAAATGAGAAACACCATCAGGGTAATTTTAGAGGTTTAGAGTTCTACCACCAAACATTTCATTAAAAGCCATCATGGGAAAGGAAATGTCGAAGTATTTATAACTAATTGTCAGGTTGTTCTAAGCTGTCTTAGCCTTTTGAGATAAGACCAGTCTTCATTACCCTGGCTGGGTAGCTCAGTCGTTTAGAGCACTGTCCCCATATACTAAGTTGCAGGTTCGATCCCCAGTCAGGGCACATACAAGCAACCAATGGATGCATAAATAAATGGAACAACAAACTGATGTTCTGTCTCACACTCTCTACCCTGTCTTCTCTAAAAAGCAATTTAAAAAAAATTAAAGACTGGCCTTCCACTCCCCCAGAGTCCAGAAATGAACTCTTTAAATATTCTACTCAGTAATACAGCAGGAAAACAAGCTCCTCTATTAACATCCATGACAGAAGCACAGATTCCTCCTAATAAAAATCACCCTTCAACCAAAGGCTGGGGGCAGGAAAGGAAGCACACAGCTGTTTAGAGAGGGGTGCCTCTCTTGGCTCCCTGGCTTCACTGCCTGCCCCCTACCCCACCCCCGGCTTGAGAGATGCTGCAGCCAGCTCACCCTCATCCACACAAGCTCTAGGAAAACATGCTTCAAATAAACATGTCTTTAAAAAGACAACTGCCCAGGAAACAAGGTTTCCTTTGGTATGAGAGATTTCCGTCAGTGCAATTTCTAAAGTGAAACTTGAATTCTACTGTACTCTTTTTCACCACAAGAAACGGTATTTCTCAGAGGCTCAAAAAGTGGAACTACGTGGACTCTACAATACCAACCCTCTTGGTTCTTGAAACCAACCTTTCTTTCTGCTCTCCTCTTTATGAGCAAAACCCATCAATCAGGGACAGCAACCAATAATAGCCAGAAAGAGCTGTGGGAGGCTGAGTCGCAGCCAGATGTCTTGGAACAAAGAAAACGTCTCCTTTGCGAGAAGAAACTAAACTCCTGAAGTACCTAAGGAATGTCACTATGCTAGGCAGATGGCACTCCCACAAAGAGCTTGGTTTTCTTGGGGAGACCAGAGACATCAGATACTAACTGCTCTGTTCTGCTAAAATTCCAAAATTGTGATTGACATTAAGAGCTCTTAGCGTAGAGGAGGAAGAGCCAATCACAGGGTTCGGGAAGTTAGGAAGGTTCGGGAAGTTCNTGGCATTAAGAGCTCTTAGCGTAGAGGAGGAGGAGCCAATCACAGGGTTCGGGAAGTTAGGAAGGTACACGGGAAAACCTGAGCTGGGCCCTGAGGAAACAAATTTTGGGGAGGTAAGGGAAAGAGAAGGGAGAGCAACCATGGGAGGCAGGGGAATGGAGGACAGAGCAAGAACAGAAAAAAGCACAGAGGCCCAGATGGGCACCGAACAAGAGGGGCCTTTGGCCTGGCTAGGAAGCACAGAAAGGCAGGAAAATGCCCATGTGCAGAGTCCTAAATACTAAAGAGCCTATAAACCTGACTCTCTAAGCCATGAGGGACACAGACAGAAGCTTCAGATCAGGGCAAGCGCTTTAGAAAGATCAATCTGGTCTCTTTATGTACACAACAGAAGACAGACAGGAGAACCAATGAAGGCGGCTCCTGAAAGAGATCCGGGAGAAAGGTAAAATGGGTATGGGTGTGGGACAGGGAAGCAAGGAAAATGGAAAGATCGTAGCTGGAGACATTTTTAAAAAAATGGATAGGACTTTTGTGAGAAGAGATAAAAATGGTAAAAATTTATAGTTTGAAGTTGAGAGAATTAAAGAGATTGGGCAGTTGAGAGGGGCAGCTTAACCGGTAGAAAAAATTCAGTTTTTAGTGACAACAGGACAACCATGCTGAAATAATCAGCACACGACAGGATGGTTTCTTTGGGAACTAGGCCAAAGATAAAGATGAAGAATGAATGAATTTCTGAGGAGACGAAGGAGTTCTTGACATGAGGACAGTTTGTCAGAGAAATCAAAAGAGGGGAATTTCTATTTGGATGGTTAATAATGTCCAATTCTATCAAGGTCAAGACTAAGTTTTGGTAACAAGCCATTGGATTTGGTGACCCGAACCTATGGAAAAACACTTAGTAGAAAGGCAGGGACCAAAGTGAGCTTGTGAAGGTTATCAAGAGAAAGAGTAACAAGAGAATGGCAAAGTCACAGGAGCAACACTTACTGGAGAAGTTGAACAGCAGACTAACAAACAGGATGGATGGGGGCGGGGCGGGGGAATCTGGGTAAGCATGAGGGTTGGAGGAAAAGTGCTAGTGTAGAGAGGCAGAAACAGAAAACATCTGGGAGGCGGAGGAAAGGCAGGGACGGGGGAGACACAACAGGGAGTACAATAACCATGGTCTCAGGGAACGCGAGGGGAGCCTGACAGATTCCTCAGATTGGAGGAAAGTGTGAGACTGGTGCACACGGAGAGGGAATGATGCCAAGAAGAGCATTCATTCATTCTTCATCTCCACAAACAGGGACCTACAACGAGTGAAAAACTCAGCTCAAAGCCACGAACTGTCTTAAGCAAGGCGGAAGACAGTATGACAAAGAAGATGGCCTTTCTTTAGACTTGATCTTCAACAGCGCAGAATTCACCATATTGCCCTCACTTCCCATATTCTTTGTATTTCTTGAGATCAGTTATTCTATTTCAGTTTTCCCTTTGCAGAAACAACTCTTTCTAGGCTCTCTGTAGTAGGTTAGCAGGACTAAAACAGACCTACATAAAACTTCAAACAGCAATTTCCAAGACACTGCCCTGCTAGCCCAGGGGAACTCTGTGACTTTCTTAAATTTTAATAACCCCTCGTATGGGATGGAAGAATTGTTACTAACTACCCTTAGCATTTTATATTAGATGAGAGGACAATTAGGTTAAGGTAAAAGAAAGAGTATGGTTAGTTTCTAAATGTCTACTTTGTTTTAGGCAACAAAAGCAAAATAGAGTTTGTGGAAAACCTATTTCATAAAAGGCCTTTGAAAAACACGCAGACCCAATCCAAAACCCTCCTACGTGTTTTCTTGCACAAAGCATGAAGCTACCCTATTTTAAAAAGTTCCTGTTACAATTGTAAGGGAAAAGTGTTTCAATAATCATAACTTTATTTTTCAAAATCTGCGACGAGGACAGTGGCTTTATAGCTTTACTCCCAGAACCCCCAAGTTCAGTTTTATGCCCAGTACAACCAAATGGAAGTTGATTCACTTTGTCTTAATATGAAAATATCATTAAACCATCAAGAACTTGTGCTAGACAGGTGGAACTTACAGGCAGTAAAACATTATTAAGCTGCTGTTTTGGTTTGCTGCTGAAGCCTTTGAAAAGAATTGTGTGTTCAATGTAGTCCTTTGCCCATCAGCATTAACCTTGTGTATCTCTTGTAGGGCACATCCCCCCAAAGTAAGAGGCCCTGGTGNAACATTATTAAGCTGCTGTTTTGGTTTGCTGCTGAAGCCTTTGAAAAGAATTGTGTGTTCAATGTAGTCCTTTGCCCATCAGCATTAACCAAAAAGTACCTCAAGCTGCTGAGTCTTCTCCTAGATCTGCAAAGATAGTGACAAGTGCAATGCTATTTTCAAGGGGTAACTCACTATAGAGCCAAGAGCCAAGGCCCAAGGCAGGGCAGTCAGCAACATGAGCCTGGGTTCTCCCTTTGGTCAAAGCTGGGTTCCAACATGCTCACTCCTTCTACTCACACTCAGAGGAGGAAAGGATGGAAGACACCAGTGTAAATAACGCGAACACAGGAGTACAAGGTCACTAAAGTGCAGGTGCAAAAACCAAAGCAATGCTCCCACCCGCTCCACCTCTGCCAGCCCGGACTCGCCACCAAACCCTAGAGGGTATCTTTTAGTTCACAGTACTTTTCTCTTCATTTCTCTTGATTTAAAAACAATCAGCAGGGAGGACGAGGTTCTCAAAAACAGGAAAATCAAATCTGAAATGAGAGTAACACAACGCATTGGTAACGTTTGTCTTCTTCCACAGGAATATACCTTACTGCTATGATTTTTTGGGGGGAAAAAACAGAATTAAGACAAACTGGCCTTCTACCATACAAACAGCAATTGATAAAAGCACATAAAATTATTTTTAAATTCCATTTGAAATAAAACATACACTAGAGAGGTCTACACTTGGTGGAGGGAATATGGGAATCTTTGCTTCTGCTTTGTACCATTCTGTATTGTTCTGAATTGTTTACATGAGCATTTTTTTTAAATCAGAAAAAGATTATAATGACAATCCTTAAAATCAATTATCTGGAAAGGTACTTGACCAGGGCTATGCTGTGAAGCTGACCTACTGGGCCAGTCACCAAAGATATTCTGAGGTGAGTGGCTTATTCTATAGCTGATAAGAGCTGTAAGGTGAACTGTGTTCCCTGTAGGAGTCTCGGAACAACTCAGTCGGGCTGCCAGCAACTCTTCACTAATGCCCTTGCTGTTACACAGAAAGGGAAAGGAAGGGTGCATGCTGGCAGCAAGGCCGTGGGAGCACACTGCGCTTAGGGAAGAACCTTACTCAGCTCCTGCTGCTGTGGGGTAAAGGGGGCTTTGCTTCCTGGCAGAGGCATGGGTTGGCTGCACTCAGGAAATCTAGTTGACAGTGCTTAACAGGGCTGATCTGGGAAGCTGGAGGCCTATGTTTCTGGACTTAATTATTTGCAGGGAGTATAGTGCTTTCCTCCCTAACATGTGGTTCCAGAGTATTTGGCATCACCTGGGAACCTCCTAGAAATATAGAAGCACAGGCTTCAACCCACAGCTAGTGAATCAGATTTTGCTTTCTATCACAATGCCTATGAAAATTTGTGAAATGCTGGTGTAGTAAGTACAGAAAGCACAGGATGGGAGCCTAGGGAGTTGCAAGCACAGATCTTGATTTTGCCATGAACTTGAGGTGGGAATTTAAGGGGGGGGGGAATCAGGATTTCTGGGACTAAGTTTCCTCACCTGTCAAGGGAGGGAGCTGTTGTAAAGTACTTAAAGGTCTCTATAGCTCTAACACTACAGACATGTATACATGATGTCTCTACTTTGGGGTCTGAAAAGGGCAGGGGCAATGGTAGCAGCACCCCCAGAACCAGCTGCTGCTTCTGTGCCAGCCCACTGCCAGGCCCAGCTGAAACTGCATAGCCCTCCCATGGACCTGGGTCTTCCTTCCTTACCTTCTGGTCCAAAAGCTGGTAGTCGCTGGCCTTTGGCCGCCGAGTAGGTTTGGATTTTTTCCCTTCCAGGGCAAAAGCAATAATCTGGGGAAAGGAAAAAGAAAATGATTAACAAGTGACTCTATACTGACATACTTCAGTCTCTGAAATCAGAGGTAATCACCTAGCAGTACATTTGTTAATAACTCTGACAGTAAAAAGAACAGTACACTCATGAAGAGGCCTATTTAAACAATTTTAAAGAGGACAGGGCTTAGTTCCATTAGAATCCTGTATACTGCTAAATAGGAAATGACAGAGGAAAGAAGGCTGTTCTGAGCTCTAGCTTGTGGGAATCTGTTGATTTACTCGAGTCTCAGTCAAAGATCTGAAAACTTCCCTGGAGAGCTCCAGACTAAGACATTTCTTTTGTTAAAAAACAAACAAACAAAAAACCATAAGCAATTCTTCTTTTCTGCAAATGCACTCTTTCACCCCATATTTTGCCTCATCTTAACCTTACCACTCATTTCATGCCTAAGGTTACTTACTCTCCATGATGCAGGATGCAGAATAAGGAACCCACTGTTTTACCTAAATGTCTTCCCTCATTCCTTATGGCCACAGGCCCTATGGCCATCAAGAACTGAACTCTCCAATTTTAACCAGGCTATAGAAACAACTCAATTCTCAGAGCTTAATAAGAAATGCAATCATTTTGTCATTGGAGTGATTGCTAAGTGACATAGATGTTACTTCATACCAAATCCTGCTAAAGAAATAAAAGACAGTACATCCACACAATTTCTGGTCTTTCTTCTAATCAGAAATTCAATTGACTGCAGAAGATCGTCCCTGGGCTCTTTGCTGTTGATGTCAAAGACAACATAACTGTTCTTGCTGCCACTGCAGATGGAAGACAAAACTTAGCAAAGGAAGCAAGAAATGAGAGTGGAAACAGGAAGATAAGTGCTCTAACTACTTACAAACTGTCAGGTACTCAGGTCCTCTGAGGCTGTGAAGGATCTAAGTTCACGATTACAGGAAGAGACCCCCAATTCAGGTCAGTTCCTAATAACATCCTAACTTGGCACCTAATGCAGCAGCAGAAAACAACCAGAGGAAACAGACACGAAAACAAATGATTTCTAAAACAGGCGAGCCCTAGCAGGGTCTGGAAAAAACCTGACATGTCTTGAAATCCCCAGTGCTCACAGGCAGGTAAGTGAAGAATACTGGCCCATACACCAAACATTCAGAGTGGAAGGCATCCCATTCCTCTTCCTAAGGTAACTGTTGCCTTACCTTCCGCTTGTTGTGATAGGCAATATAGAGGACAGCAACAAGAATGGCTGCAGTCACCAGATATGCAAAGAAGTGGCTGCTCTCTGCACTTCCAAGATTGTCCTTATAAAGGTCATCCTTCTTCCTACTTATGGAATTCCAAAGGGTCCCTTCATGGTTCTCCCTTGAGGCAGAGCCAGGGATTTCTTTCTCTTCTTTGGGCAGAGAACCTCCTTCAGGTTCAGAACTGTTTTCCGTGGACTGTTGCCCCGAGTAAGGCTTACCAGAGCCGCCTTTGGTGGGCGGCGCGTCCGCCTTAGCAGGGTCGCCTTTCCCCGGCCGCGCGCCTGGCTTAGCAGAGTCGCCTTTCCCGGGCCGCTCAGTGGGCTTAGCGGGTGGCGCGTCCGCCTTAGCAGAGCCGCCTTTAGTGGGCGGCGCATCTGGCTTAGCAGACTCGCCTTCCGTGGGCCGCGCAGTGCTGCCTTTAGCGGGTGGCGCGTCCGTCTTAGCAGGGTCGCCACCCGCGGGCCGCGCGTCCGGCTTAACAGTGTGGCGTTTCCCCGGCGGCGGGCTTGGCTTAGCAGGGTCGCCTTCCGCGGGCGGCGCACCTGCTTCAACAGGGTCGCTTTCCTCGGGCCGCGTAGAGCTGCCTTTAGTGGGCGGCGACGTGCCTGGCTTAGCAGCGTCGCCTGCCCTGGGCTTCAGTTTCAGGGAGGACGGATCCTCCTCAGGCGGGACGCTCGAGCGGACTTGATCGGAGACTCCATCTTCGTTCCTTCCATCATTCGTACGGGTAAGCCGTGTTTCGTCGGCTGATGGAAGAGGAGGGGGCTGCTCGGCTCCTGAAAGAGAGAAACCAGTTGGCCCTCAAGAGCGGCAGGCCGGGATAAAGACACCCCCAGAGCTGGAAGAGACGGGGCAAACGGTGGTGGTGGGGGGGTGTGTGTGATGGCGAGGTGCGGGGTGGGACGGGCAGGGAAGAAGCCAGCTCAGATGGACACCAGCCACGGTGAGGAGGCTGTGCCTGGGGGGCGAGAGTGGGATTTCCTTGGGGCGGTCTTACCCGCTGCTGCGACCCACAGTAAGACCAACGCAACCAGCAACCGCATCCTGCAGACTGTGCTTCCGCTGTCTACCGCTCTCGCGATATCGCGCGCCGACTCAGTACATAGCCCCGCCCCCCCTTGCGGAAGTCTCCAGCAGCTCCGCCCGGAAGAGGGGAGGGTTGGGGGAAGGCCGGGAAGGCCGGGGAGGGGCGTGGCCTCACCACTGACTTCTCGCTGTGACCGTTCTTTTCGGTGGCGGCACTTTACGGTCCCTTATGGAAGGGACCACCTTTTCCTGATTTTTTTGCTCCGTCACACCCGCAACAGAACGTCCCTCCCCGTTTCCTTCTTTGCCGTCGTGCTTCCGAGGCAGGCCAGGCCGAGCCGGAGCGCCCCGGCCTGTGGGCCCACGGCAGGGACGTGGCGGCCGGCGCCCCCTCGCCGGTCCTCGGCTCGCCGTTTTAACTTCTCCCTTTCCCGTGGTTCTTTCTCCGCAGGGCTGTGCTCGGGGCTCTCCCGCGGAAGCAGAACCCGTCCAACTCCACGACCTGCCTGCGAAGTCGCCAAAGGTCTGCCCTGAAAGTGCATCCTTTCCTGACCATAAAAGCCGTTCATACAAATGTAGGGAACTTAGCGAACATGGAGAAGTAGGAAAAAAATCTTGGCCTCACAATTCCGAGATAACTACTATAAATGTTTTAGTGTGTTTTCTGTCTTGCAAACATTAAACATTTTTTTTTTGGTCAGGCAATACATTCTAATGATTCAAAAAATCAAAACGGATTTTTTTTTTAAAGTATACATTAGAAAATTACCCCTCCACAGGGTACCACTTACATTAGTTTCTCGTGTTTCCATTTAGTGTCTGTTTAAAAAAACACAAATACAGATGTACGTATTTTCCCCTCCTTAAATGTATTTTCTTGGTCTTTTTTCTATGCCTATTCATTTTCTCCCAAACTAGATTCATTGGGTAAATAGTTTTGTGTCCCACTGTTTATAGTAACTGTTATGTTTCTACATTAGTTGTTGCCTGAAATCATTTTATGGACATTGGCCAGGCTAGGTGCTTTGTAGACCGTGATTTAAAAAAAAAAAAGATAGGACTCTGGCAGGTGTGGCCCAGTGGTTAGAGCACGGCCTTCGCACCAGAAGGTCCTGCGTTTGATTCCTGGTCAAGGGCACACACCTGGGTTGCAGGTTCCATCCCCAACGTGTCGGGGCACATTCCGGAGGCAACTAATCAATGCGTCTCTCTTCAATCAATGTTTCTCTCTTTCCTCCTCCCTCCCTTCTTCCCTTCTCTCTAAAAATCAATGGAAAAAATATCCTCGGGTGAGGGTTAACAATAAATAAATAAATTTTAGAAATTATAGGCCCTAATGTAATCCAGCAGGACTCAACAAATATTAATCAAATGTTTACACAAATGTGTGTGTGTGTGTGTGTGTGTGTGTGTGTTCAAAGAACTAAAGTACAGAAACTGAACTTCAGGAGAAAGCACCTTTGAGCTGAGGACCAGGTGAGGTTGAAGGGAAGAGGAGGAGCAGCGTTCCTGGCTGAGTGTCCATGATGGGCAAAGGCCTGGAGGCAGGCGGGAACCTGATAGTTTGTGTAAATCTAAAGATGAGGATTGGATTATCAGCTAACAGAGAACAAAAAGAATGGCAGGGGAGAGCCAAATTAAAGAGTAAATGACCTGGGAGTTGTCCAGAACATAAATCTTTATGGGACACAAAAGTGCGTCAGAAAATATACTGGTAAACTCAGACTGAAATGTAATCCCACCAAAAAGGACTACAGCTGCCAGGGGCAATAACATTCCTCTGTAGTCTGTTGAGTACAATATTTGGGTTACATTGCATGCAGTTCTAGTTGAATTGAAGTTCCGAAGACTGTACATAGCATACAGTTTGTTATTTAAAAACCCTTTAACGTGCTTCTCAGTGTTTCTCTGTTGGAAGAAAATCCCTCTTACGCATACCCTCATACTGAGGAGAGAATGAGGATCAGAGAGAAGTGAGAAATCTTTTAACTAGTTATTTCAGAACCGTGACTCTCCTTTGGCAAAAGGAAGTGAATTGGTAAATGAATCTGTATCTAAAAGGAAATTCTTTCCAAGTCCCGTAAATATTTGACTAACATTAAAGGATATTGGTTTAGTAGAGGTATGTGTAGGTTAATGCAAATCAAAATCACAATGAGATACCACTTCACACCTACTAGGATGGCTGTAATAACAATAAAACCCAGAAAATGTGTCAATGAGGGTGTAGAGAAATTGGTACATCTGCACATTGCTGGTTGGGATATAAAATGTTGCAGCTACTATGGAAAAGTTTGGCAGTTCCTCAGAAAGTTAAAAGAAATACCATATAACCAAGGAATTCCACTCATAAGCGTATATACCCCAAGGAATTGAAAGCAGGGTCTCAAACATTATACTGTATGTGAATGTTCATAGCAGCATTGTTTACAATAGCCAAAAGGTGGAAATAACCCTTGCATTCATCAATAGATGGACAAAATGTCACACACACACACACACTCTCTGTCTCTCTGGAATATTGTTCAGCTATAAGGTGTGAAGCCCTGACCACATGGCTCTGTTGGGCATCATCCCTTACACCCAGGGGATGCCAGTGGATTCCCTGGTCAGGGCACCTGTCTAGGTTGTGGACTTGATCCCCAGTAGGGGGTGTGCAGGAGGCAGCTGACTGATGCTTTGTTCTCTCTCCCTACCCCTTCCTTTCTCTCTCAAAATCAGTTAAAAATCTTTTTAAAAATATTAAGGTACAGATCAGTATGTCTAATTGAAATATAATTTGAGGGAGGGAAAGGGAGAGAAACATCAGTGTGAGAGCAGAACATCAATCGGCTGCCTCCTGTACGCCCCCTACCAGGGATTGAGTCCACAACCTAGGCATATCCCATGACCTGGAATTGAATCAGCAACCTCTCTGAGTACGGGATGAAGCCCAACCAACTGAGCCACACTGGCCAGGCCCAATAAAAAAAACCTTAAAAGCATAAAAAGGAATGAAATTCTGATACACACTACAATATTGATGAACCATGAAAACATGCTAAGTGAAATAAGCCGGACACCAAAGGACAAATATTGTACGAATCTATTTATATGAGGTACCTAGAATAGGCGAATTCATAGATAGTAGGTAGCTTAAAAGTTCTTAAGGTCTGGGAGGAGAAGGGATTGGGGAGTTATTACTTAATGGGTAGTTTCTGTTTGGGATGATGAGATCTGGAAATCAATAGTGGTTATGTTTGCATGACATTGTAAATGTACTTAATACCACTAAATTGTCCACTTAAAAATAGTTAAAACAGTGAATTTTATATGTATTTTACCAATTTTAAAAAACTTTGTATCTGAGTAAAAAAACCTGGCAAGTACTCATAAAAAGAAGGAAGACTAAATTATTTTATCAAGGCTTAAAATTTTAAAAAATTCTGATACATGTGACAATATGGATGAACTTTGAAAAGTTATGCTAAGTTATATAAGCCAGGCACAAAAGGACAAGTGTTTCAATTCCAAAAATAATTAGAGTAGGCAGATTCATAGAAACAGAAAGCAGATTAGAGGTACCAGGCTGGGTGGAGGGGGAACGAGAGAGTTACTGCTTAAAGGTTATAGAGATTCTGTTTGGGATGGTGAAAAGTTTTGGAAATAGTTTGTGATAATGGTTGCAACATTATGCATATAATGCTACTGAATTGTATGCTTAAAATGGTTAAAAGGGCAAATTTTGTTACATATACTTACCATAATTTTTAAAAAGTACTGATATATACTACACAAAATGGATGAACATGAAGGCTGAAAGGAGTCAGTGAGAAAGAACCGCATATTGTATTATTCTACTCAAATGAAATGTCTGTAATAGACAAATTCAGAGAAAGTAGAAGTGGTTGCCTAGGGCTGGAGGAAATGGGGGGTGACTTCTAAAGGGTATGCATGGGTTTCTTCTGAGGTGACAAAAATGTTCTAAAATTGACAGTGATGGGTACACAGCTCTGAACATAACTAAAACCCAGTTTGTATACTTTCAATGGGTAAGTTATATGAATTATATCTCAGTAAAGCTGTTACAGAAAAATTAATTGCAGTGCTAGATACTATGAAGAGCAGACAAAGGATGCCCCTCACATCTGGGCAGTTACAGGCAAATGGAAGCTAAGGATTCCTCCCTTTGGATCTATTATTGATACTGGTTGATGTACATTCCGGGCTGGGTTGGATTTGTCTAATTGTGTCAGGCATGTTTTATGTCCCTCTCAATAAGTGCTAATTCTCTCTGCATATCCACAAAAATCTAGCAGGGGGCTTGATTCAACACATGCATTAAAACACTCAGAAAAGGTCTTGCAACTGCAATTTTATTTTCTTTTGTGAAAATAGACAGCTTATTGGGAGTTCAACTTGCTCCAAAAACCCCATAAAAACAAAAAGGAATACACACAGAAGCATGTGAGGTGATGGGGGAGGGACGAGGGTCCTTAGAACTTTGGCAGACTGTGCTAGCACTGAGCCAGGCGACAGGAGCCAGTCCTCGGAGCAGGTCCTGTCTGCCACTCTGGGACTGTGAGGGGGAGATCTGGACTGGTAAAGGGGCGGAACACAGACTTTGTCACTAAGGAAGTGGCAGGCACCTTGAGTCCCTTTAAGTGTAGGAAGAACCGTTTCAGAGGACCTGTCCCCCATCAGAAGCTGGAGGCTGGAGGTCGGGGCCCGCTGGGGGAAGGGGATGCTGGTGGAGACAAACCAGGCAGTGTCTTCTCACATGGTGACAGCCTTACACTGGGCAGAGGACCAGAAGATGAAGGCAGAAGCCCATGGAGCTGAGCAAAGGAGAAAAACTTAGGCGAGATCAAAGGAAATGTCCAGGAATGGGGTCTAGGTGAAGCAGCAACAGGCTAGAAATGGCAGCAGTGGCCGCCGTGCCGCCTGGGTGTGGGAGCTGGGGCACAGGGGACTCGAGAAGAGGGAGGAGGCAGTCTCAGAGGTAGAGAGAAGGGGTCTTTTGCCCAGGTCCGTCCACCACTGCACGCACGGGAAGGATGACACACTACTCTTCAGTTCTCTTTCTTTTAAAGATTTTTTTTGTGGGTTTTGTTTTGTTTTTTAAAAAAGCCTTAAGATCAGCTACTGGTTACATCTACAAAACGTAAAGTGCTGTTGTTACCAGTCACTTTACAGAACAGTCCAGGTGGTCAAATATTGACCAATAAAGTTTCCTTTTTTTTTTTTTCCTCTTCTGAATCATTACTACTCGATGGGTCACTTGACAGCCTGCAGGTCACAGGGCAGCTTAGTGGGCAGACTTGGTGACCAAGGAAAGAGGCTGGGCCTGGAGTACTGGGAGGGCCTGGTGGGCATGGAGCGTGGCAGGGAAGGAAGGGGGAGAAGTCAGCAGAGCTGTGGGCATGGACCCGAGTGGGAGGGGCCGGGAGAGGAGCGGGGGCTGGCTGCCCATCTGGCCAGAGGACGTGGCTGCAGCCTTAGCTGACAGGAAGGCAGCCGAGTGAAGAGCCAGCTGGGCCCGGGTCTCTGGCTTGGTGGTGAGGGAGAGGGGCTGGGCTTGCTCCGAGTGGGTTGCAGCAGGGGCAGCCGGCGAGGCCAAGGCTGCGGAGGGGGTGGCCGGGGAGTCCAGCATGCTGCCATGGGAAGAGGCAGGGCTGTCACAGGGCTTCTCAGGGGGCAGGTACTGAACACACGGCTTCTTGCTTTTGGAGGCCAGAGCACCTAGGGGAAAAAACACGAGAAACAGTGAGCAGCTAGTAGCTCTGGTGAGGCAGAGGCTGCAGAAGAGGGCTGGCTGTGCATATCGTCTCTGGAAACACAAGCATCCTTCCGGGGAGGGAAGTGAGGACCTGAAATTGCACCTAAGGCTTTCAAGGCTAGGCAGCTGCATTCAGGGTGCCTGGAGCATAGAGGAGGCGCAATGCCAAAGAGCACGAAAGACTCAGCATGGGACTGGAGGGAAGACAGCTCAGCCTACCGCACCTTCACCTTCCTCGCCTACATCTCATTTTGGGATGGACCCCACTCAATTTCCTTGAAAAACCTTTAGCTTATGGTACTATGGGGGAGAGTGTAGCACCTGCTAAGCAGCGTGGTTTACTGTGGGTTTTGAAGCACATACATTATTTATGTGTGCTCGTATGTAGACAAATTATACGGAAGAAAGGAGGGAGGGAGGGAGGAAGGGAAGGAAGGGAAGGAAGGGAAGG